CAATCTCAACCTCCTAGGAGCAAAAATTAAGCAGTTTAGTGCAGATGAACTATGTCCATCATAATTGTTTATTTATTTATTTATTTACACGGTCAAAAAAAATAAATACAAATATAAAATATATATACATGAGATATACAGCATTAAGGCATTGAATTAAACAATGAAAACAATAATTTGTCTTTCTTTTCGAAAAAAAAAAATTATAATAGTAAATAATTTGTGATTTTTGTTTACAGGTGAATGCAGCAGTACTCTGTGTAAAGATGTTGAGTGTCAGAATGGTGGCACATGTGTAACAGATACAGTAGATACTTATATATGCCTATGTCAACTGGGAAAGATTGGAAAACACTGTGAACAAGGTATTTTCATTATCAGTAGTTAGAACTGACATGATAAAATTTATTTGGTGTTAGTATACGTAACTTTTCATGAAATAAATATGTTTATTATTTATGTCATGTAAATGGTCACACTAATGTGAAAGAAATATGCGATACATAATATTTGTCTGCTGCCATCTAGAGTTTGAACAAGATTCCTTTTGTTTTTAGTACATTACATTAGTATTCATTTTTGTCAATGTTTTGTATATTTCAGAGGTAACAGTACATATTCCATCATTCAATGGGACATCCTACCTGACGTATCCAGGTTTTGGTAATACTAAACTTTCTTATTTGGAGATAGAGGTTGTATTCAGACCAAAATCTACCGATGGTCTCATTATATATGATGCTTTAAAAACTGATACTACTGGTGATTTTGTATCTTTATCTATGAGTAATGGTTACTTGGAATTCAGATTTGATTGTGGAACTGGACCGGCAATAGTTAGGTATGTAGAAAAACAAATAGTTACACTGATTAGAACTCTGTACTAGGTGGACGTAGAAGCTATCATACACAGTAATAAGCATACCCAGTATGCACATTGCATATTCTGAAAACTGCTTTAATTTTGTATAATAGTAATAATAATAATAATAATAACTTGAAATCATATCCACAATGGGGTATTGATCAATACAATAAAGGTAATATATGTATAAATTAATGACAGAAAAATAACAAAAAAGAAAAAACAAAGATAATTTATAAAAACATGTATAATAAAAAATAGTGTTTCTTTGTTATGACACAAATGTTAGCAAAATTACCAAGTCAGTGAACATCGTGAAACTTTGTAGCAGTGTCAGAGCACAATATTTTCAACTGTCAAAAAATCATTAAATCTCAATCTCCTAGGAACGAAAATTAAGCAGTTTCCAGGGAGACACACAAAGTTATTACCTTCAATTATTAGAAAATGTTTCAGCATTTTAGGGATTCTGTCAATGATACTTCATCTATTGCATCAAAGCTGAATATACTATGCTTCATAGTTTTGTGTTTGTTCATTCCTCTCTCCACAAATATGTGGAGGCAGTAAGCTGGAACATTATATCTTGAAAATTCAAGATGTACACTACCAGGTGTTCATTTACTTCAAATTCTGTGTTCAAAAATACTGTGAAATGCTTTATTTTAGGATGAATTAATTTTCACTGAAAAAAACATTTTGGGTGTTTTGTATGGAATTTATTTTCACTGATTTTGGACAAGTTGAATGTAAAATATAGAAAAAAAGGTATATTCGCTGGATTTTATTTTCACTGAATCATTCCCTCAGCAAAAATAAAGTATTTTACAGTACAATGATGTAGAGATAAGCAGCTTGCATTTCAATATCCTATGATAATGTATTTTATATGTGTTGTATATTGCATGGATATGTAGCAAATGTGTAACAAATCATAAAATTACTAATATTCAGAAATTAGTGTATGTTTAATTTTAATTTTATTAAATATTTATTTGTTTTCACATTGTAGATCCATTAATAAAGTAGATTTAGATGAATGGCATACTGCTGTGATTTCTAGAACCGGGCTAGAAGGTATTCTGGAACTTGATTCCCTTCCTGCAGTTAGAGATAAAGCCGAAGGTGCATTTACACAAACTTCATTTAAAACAGATTTATATATTGGTGGACACAGTAATTGGGATGAAGTGGCTAAATATGCTTCTATAAAGTCATCTTTTGTGGGTGATATTCAAAAGGTATGTTATACTGACAAAACTTGTATAAGGAATTATATGTTAATCATCTGCAACTCAAATTTCCATGCATAGTGATATTCTATAAAGATTCAATTCGTATGAGCTCAAAATTGGTACTCTGGTATGTTGTTGTTGAACTACGATAATTGCTTCAATTCTCATCATCTTTGTATTGTAATATTATTTACAAGCTTGTTATGTATCTATTTATGTAAGAATAAAAATTATTATTATCACATCAGTTACATACCCCTATAAATGCCCACTATCACAAATGTTTCTGGTTTCTATTTTTTTTCATTCCACAAATTGGGTGAACTTTGAGTTAACTAAGTAATGAGCAATAAAAACAAAGTAAATCATAACATCCATCAATAGAGGGAAATCTACCTGGTTTAGTACAGCTAAGCTAATGATAGTGGATATCCCAACATATCATTCTTGTCTTTGAGCAATTTTTTAGTGGTGGGTGAAATAAAAATAAATAAAAAGCTGTTCCATTTTACACTGCATTCACGTAAATAATCATAATTTTAATTTAAACTACAGCAAAGTCTGTTTCATAAAGACATTAACGTATTTTCATGGAAATTTATAAAATCTTTATACTGAATGTACTGAAATACATTTATACTGAAGGATATCATCCTTCATTAAATGAGACACTCATGGTCTACAGAAGCCATTTGATTATGCCTCTTATTGCACTGTACTTGTGTTACTCTGTTTGACCCGCGACCTCTGGGTGGTATGTATCTGCTGTAGCACTATTATGAGTCAAATAGTTGTTTTCAACTGTTATTTGAAATTTATAAAACTTTCATGCATTAATGAAACAGAGTATATTAATTTGAACAGAACTAAAATAAAACACTGCATGAATGTATGTATGAACTTCAAACATTTGTAGTAAATTCTATGCTAGGTAGCATACGCATTATTTTCTTTCTTCTCATCAAATATGCCATTGTGGGTTGTTCAATACTTTTATATAACGTCTTTATTTTTAAGGTTGTGGTAAATGATAGATTAATAGATTTAGTGGAGGATGCATTAACTGGTGTAAACATAGATAATGCAGATCATCCTTGCATTGGTTCACCTTGTTTATACAATGGTGAATGCATACCACATCATGATGTATATATGTGTGACTGTCATATCGGATATAATGCAAGTAACTGTGAAAAAGGTAACTATTATTATTTGCTGTTTGCATATCTTGATTCAGGTGTTGCTGTGTGCAATCTGATTAAAATAAGATGTTTTTTGTGAGTGCTTTTTGTTATCTCAACTTTGGCAGTTTACCTGCTCACCAACATCTCACCAATTCCAATCGACTTTGTTCATGAACACCAATCATAGGGGCTGGCATGTTGGCCCAATTTTTTTTTTCACTTCTACTGCACCAGGATGATACATGTATATAGACGTGTTTTGAGTTCCCTGGCTGCTATGTTTACTCCAGCTGGCAAAAAAGGCTTGATTTTATAACCAGTCATTTGGGAGTCTGTTTGCTTCAGTTTTTCATAGTTCTTGTTTGTTGTTCCTCAAAGACACATTCTGATTGGATGAGATTTGAATGAAATTACCCATTGGCAGTAAAAGAGATCATACTCCAGGACTGTGGCCTGATTCTCAATACTAAAAAGTGAAACCTTGTATTTAAAAGTCAAAGCAATAGTTTTAATGAGATATCTGTGAGTCAGAATTACTACCATTTCAAATTTCAACAAAATTCAGTTTTTGTTACAAATATTAAAAACTTGATAATTGTGAAAAATTCAAATTTCAGAAAGAATATTACAATTTGATTACCAAAGATTGAGAGACACATTCTTGGTAAAATCTGTCAGGAAAATGGCCAGCTATGAATGATCTAAAAGTAGTTTCATCTGAAATAAACCATCTGTATTGTTTTAGTGTAAACATTTCATAACTGATCTTTTACAGAGATATTGTTTCCAGATGATGCAACAGAAATCAAGTTTCTGGGAAGAAGTTATGTACAAATGACTCACCCTGACATTTTGAAAAGGTGAGGATTTAGACAATGAATGATTTTTATTGGCAGAATGTGAATTTTTATATGGATATTGTATATGCTACAAAAATTTTATGGAACCTAGTGTCTGTGTTTACTCGAAAATGCATCTATATGTATGGTTTTGTCAGATAACATTTACAATGTTTGTCCATTGCCTTTATAACTCACCTGGTAGAATCACAATTTAAATTATTTCACTTGTCCCAAGCTATATACCTTTAGTGCCAATTTCCAAGTCTGGAGCAAATTTCTGATTAGTTTTAATCTCTGCAGCATTGAAAAACATTAAAACTGATTCTATCCTAATAATCAACAGCCACATGTAGTTCATGATGATTAGTTATTTTCTCAACTAAAGTAGAGTAAATACGTGTATGTTTTACTATGCTATTGGTTGGACTTGGGGCACAACAGCGTCCTCACAGAGAAAACAATGCCCCCACAGGCAATACATGTATGCTTTATTGACTCCCATGTGTGAAGCACAAAATGGGAGTCTTTGCAGTTAGTCTGTGTGTGTGTGTGTGTGTGTGTATGTGTGTATGTGTGTTCGTCTGTTCCACCGATATCTCAAGAACCATACATTAGTTTTTGATGAAACTTGGTGCATAGATGCTCTGGGCCAATGCGCAGATTTGATTAGGTTTTGGTTAAATACCATGCATATTAATTACCTAATTTGCATGATAATAAGCTAATTTTTAGCTGTTCCATTACTGTTCCATTGATATCTGAAGAACCACTCATTGGATTTTGATGAAACTTGCTATATAGATGCTCTGAACTTGTGCGCAGATGTGATTAGTTTTTGGTAAAAATCCATGCATATTAATTACTTAGCTTGCATGATAATTAGCTAATTTTTAGCTGTTCCCTGACTGTTCCACTGATATCTAAATAACCACTCATTGGATTTTGATGAAACTTGGTACATAGATGCTCTGAACTAATGCTAGGTTTTGATTAGTTTTTGGTAAAAATTACCTAATTACTAATTACCTAATTTGCATAATGATTAATGAATTTTCGGTTTTTCCACTGATCAAGTTCTAATCATCACATTTCAATGAAACTTTGTACATAGATGTCTATCCAAAGACCTGATTAGTTTTAGGGTAAATAATTGGGCATATTAATTACCTAATTTGCATAATTAATTAATTTTCAACTTTCACACTGATTTCTCAAGTACTAATCATCACATTTCAACGAAACTTTGTACATGGATGCTGTAGGACAATAGGCTGAATAATTGTGGGTTAAAATCTGTACATATTAATTACTAATTTGCATAATTAACCACTTTTAAGCTATCACACTGATATCTAAAGTACTAATTATTTCATTTCAATGAAACTTGGTGCAAAGATGCTCTAGGACAATGTACAAACCGGATTAGTTTGGGGTTAAAATCTGTTTATATTAATTCCTTAATTAGCATAATAATTCATAATTTTTTTTGGTTCCAATCACATTTCAATAAAACTTGGTATATAGATGGTCTGTTACATTGCGCAGACCTCATTAGTTTTACACTCAAATCTGTTCATATTAATTTTCTGATTTGCATTATTAGTTTTCAGCTTTTCCATCACTATCTCAATCAAGTACAAGTAATTTTGAATTATATTTAATGTGTCTTCAATACTCTCAGCACATGGGAGTTCTTTCTAAGCTTTCTTTG